CAGGGCTGTGACAGACACTGGCTTGTCCCCTGTTGGACATAAACCAGTCTGTTGTCTGAGAATCCAGCTAATGAACTCCCATGAATTTATTTTTTCTAACYAGTGGAATCTAGTTAGCATCCAGGCTCGAATGCCAAGGTCTTTAGGCACATTCCTGAGGTGGAAACTCTCCTGAAGCTGAGAAAGAGGGTTTAACTGCCTGCCTGACCCTCTTCTTCTCACTGCACAGGCGATTGAAACCTACTTTTCCCTAAAACAGTTAAACCCCTCAGCAAATGGACAGATATGAGCAACAGGCACACAGTGAAACATAACAGCATTATTGAGTATCTGTAAACATGCCAGTAATTTCACACGGAAGAAAGATGTTCAGGAGAGCACCGACCAGAGGAAAACAAAGCTTCCCAAAGACAGAGCTCCCCTTGCACTCTTGCCTTTTGTACTGACTGCCCTCAGAGAGGGGATTGCTTCTTTGTATTGACAAAAGCAGGATTCTCCGTGAAGCATTAAACTCCCGTGGCAGGCAGATGCTCCTCTAACAAAGTTAACAAAAATGGCTGAAGAAAGCAAATCACTCTGCTCCTCTGTCTATAGATTTCTGTTCCCAATTCTCCTTCGGGCACTGTGGAGACCTTACAGCTAATCTTTTGGACAGKATGGCTTCTAGGCTTGTCTCTGATCTGCTGATGATGTTATTATTTCTTCATAATTGTTTACTGTATAAAATCAACATCATTCTCTCCAGAGGAAGATTGCTCAGAGTTGCTTGTGAGAATCTTTTAGCTCACAGTTGTGGRCCTGCTGTCGTCTTGACAACACACTCATGTCAAGGTTAATGTCACATCAAGGCACTGTTAGTACCTCCTTCCCTTGCAGTTATTCTTTCAACTGTAAGGGTATTAATGCAATTTAAAGTTTCTTCATTCTTGGCTGACCTTTAGGGGTATTGCAATTACACACCCAGAAATTTGAAGAGAGAAATTTCTCAGAGTACTGTGGGAGTAACTGCAATTGCAGATTTTGGGCTGTGTTCAGAAAGCACAGYACTGAAAGCAATCACCTCCACATTTTGTCCAGGCTGAGAGATGGACTCTGCCCATGACCTCTGTTTTGCCACCTTCATATTGGAACCTTCCCATTGCATTCCCAGCCTTAAAAGTGAGATAGTGCTTTTAATTAAGTTCATGGGGAATCTCGTAATTCAATGTTCATGAAGAACAGAACTGCAAGCCTTTCTGCACTTCTGCTAAGTGCACAACTTCCTTAAATCTTGGAGAACAGAGTCCCAACACAGAACCCTCAGACCACACTGAAAGAAAAGACAGCTCTTCTTCTTTTACTATAAAGTGAATAATTTAAGAACATTGTTGCTTACTGTCTTGAAGCCATCCTTTATGTGTCCCTGGGCAGAGYTGGAGGCAGCCAAGATTTGCATGTCAACAGCTATTTTGTTAACTGGTTCAGGAATACCGAGGGCAGCAAAGTGCCCTGGGCACTGTGCTGGTGCCCTGGGCAAGACACTCCTCTCCGTGTCATTTTAATACCCATTGTGCTTATGTAACTGATTAAATAATAAAAAATACATCTCTACTGCCTCTCGCACACGTATGATCTTACAGGCACACCCGATGCACATTACCCACGCTGCCCAAGGTCTGACTTGGACTCAGATTTGTTCTTGCCCAGTCTCTCTCCCCCAGGACCACTGAGCTCCCTACATTCTAAAGAACCCAAACGTTATATTCTTTTTGAAAAATATGTGGATGCTTTAATTGTCTCCCTGGGTTTCTATGACAACCACAGCAACATAAACAGCCTTGCTGGCAGCCACAGGAGACTGAAATCTCTGCTCTCTTCCCTCCCCTCCCCTCCCCAAAACTTCTCAATGCAGAACACAGCATAACCAAATAAATACMATTAACAATAGAGGTGGTGTCTAGTACACCTGGCTGGCACTGGGGAAATGTCTTGCAAATAAAATACATTAMRGTATTTTATGCTAATAGYCAAAGCATTGCCTGCTACATCAATGTTACCTTGGGACCAACAATGAAAAACAGTGCAAAGCTATAAATATATAAACAGAAGTTTTCTATGTCAGCCTGCAYGGCTGCCGAGGGCTTTAAAAAAATACATGACAAAGCCTTCTCTGTTAGTGCTTCTGAGCACCTCTCCCCTTGCTGGGAAGTTACACAGCAGGGATAAGCCCCTGAGCAAAMGTCAGGACAGTTGGGGTTCAGATGGCTGCAGAGCTATGTGGGTGCACACACACAGTATGGTGTGGCCTCAGGCACCTCTCCATGGCTGCAGCTCCCAGCTTTCCAGCAGGAAAATCATAAACAAAATGTGATCACAGCAGCAGTGAAATGCTCTGCATGGCACCGAGTCCAGGAGAAGCTGTTTCTCTAACTCCTGCATCAGCACAGTGAGAGCTGCTGCTGCTGCTAATGCTTGGACATCTGAGGTCCAACAAGTCCCAAACAAATAGCTCTGGGTTTTCTTCTCTCCTGAGCAAAATTAATGGCAAAATAGATTTTCCATGAATCCAGCATAATCCTGGAGGCTTTAAYCCATTTAAACTCATTCATCTAATAACAGACAGCATGAAGCCATCAGGATAYACAAGAGTTACAAAGAGGCTGCGTGTGATAATTATGGTTATCAGCTGTCCACAGCTCACAAAATCGTCTTTCAAAGTACTTTCTGATCACCGTAATGCCGTGCATTTTTAWAGTAATTGCCCATGTATGTCTCGTTTGTGACAAAGTAACTTTGTGAAAGAAAGGGCTGCAATTTCCTCCGCCAGTGCTGTCAGTCTGTCTCAGGSACTTGCTCTCCCCATGCTTGCTCTCCCAGGGAGATACAGATGCCTCTGGCTGCTCTGAGACACAGAGATGTARCTATGCCATCTTCCCTGCAGCAATCTTCCCTTGGCAGGGAAATCCTGTGGCTCTGTGGGACTGATTTGGCTGAGAAGCAGRCTCAGGATCTGAGCAAATGGAGCTAGGGGGTGGTATGTGAATGTGAGCCCTTGGAAAYAAAAATCCATGGGGATTCCCTCTGGGCCAGTAAGCAGAAATACATGTATCTGTGAGGAGGAGGAGGAGAAGGAAAAGGAAAAGAAGAAGACAAAATGCTTCCCTCTTCCACGGGGCTTGGAAGGCACAGAAGGTGCCACTGACATTTCACAGCTTGAAGGATCAGCTTTTTGCAAGCTGCCTGATTACACAGACCAGGTGGAGGTAAAAGAGAAATTAATTAAATAAACACCAGAAATGGTGATGAGTATCAAAAAAGAAATGTGGATATTTTATAGATTTCTCATCTCAAGGCAGGACTTTCACTACAATGACTACCAATACAACAAATTTTAAATGGTTTCATTTTCTCTTGAAGGATTTTAAGCAGGGTCCTTGTGCTATGGAATCCTTGCACAACATGGAAATAATGCATTTTGCAATATGGAAAGGAAACATTTCTTCTTTCCTACTTAATTTGCTCCAATAGGCTGTATAGCAAGAAGTGCCACGTGAGACTGAATCATGAAAAYGAAAAGATTGCTTACGCCCGCATTTACTATGTTATAAAATAACACTGTCTAAGGAAATTAAGTTTAATTTTATCAACTATTCATAAGTTTTTGTTTCTATGTATGTCTTCCTGCATTCTAGTATGATTTGACTAATTACAGACAAGTTACTTAAAACTACAGCATAAAGGAAATGAATGTTGACTTGGAATACAAAGAGACATCTGTTACCTTACAAATATGAGAGTCCACRTGCTGCAGATCACATCAGGATATCAGGCAATATGCAAGGTGTGTTGCATAATGTGACATTGAAGTTAGTCACAGAACAAGCAAGTCAGATGRGATTTTGTAGTTTTCACTGTTATTTATTAACTGTAATAGCCCCAAAATGATCACAGTGCTTTTAAATTAGGATTACAAAATATATAAGCTTCTCTTTTCTGCACCTGGAATGTATTATTTGGCCTAAGACTCTAATGGTACTGAAATCAAAATGAGGGCCATTTTAGAGTAATTTTAAATTAATGGTTCTACAATTAGTAGATATTTTCATACCTTTCAAGCTCTGTCCAATATGACTCACTGCCATTAAGGGACTCTGGTTTAAATTCTGAGAAATATGTATGAAACAACTTCAAAAAAAAAAAATAAAAAAGGCCCAAACCACGACACAAACCTTTGCCTGCTTCCCAAGTATGCTCATGGTGTGTGGGTGGCTGAGATGAATTACGGTGAGGCGGTTTTATCAGAAGTAATTACAWAATTCCCTTGTGGCTCTGAACCATTCTAAACTCTAACCCAAGCCCTAATCATTACTAAAGTATTCATAAAGCCTTTACAAGACAATGTTCCAACTCATAAAGCCATTCTTTAAGAATAGTCAGTACTTCAGAAAACCTGAAGGTTGCTGTGACTTCACAGGAAGTCTTTGTGCTGCTTAAGGAAGACGTGTGATGTATTTTGCAGTAGCACCTATGAGGACACACGTTTTCACACTCCAAGTGCAACATATGGCATGACACCCCTTTCAGGCACAGAATTACAGAAATCTATGGCCACAATCCATGCTTTTGACAATTTGAACTTTACAGATTTCAATAAATTTAATTTATTCAGCTGAGCTGATTGTTTCTTTAGTAGGCCAATATTAAAAGTGTGGTTTAATGAACACATTTAAAAAGAAAATGAATGTAGAGAGCTTTAAGTAGATATTTAACTAGAGAATATGCTAGTGTACTCTTGCCATACTTCTTCAGCAGCAGACTACACTGACTGGGCTGCAGACATCAGGGTCAAGACTTTCATTTATTGTTAGAAAGTAATCACCCATTTTTGACAATGCCAAGATATTTGCTTCTTCACAAACATCTTAAGAATAACATCTTTTGTAAAAGCAAAATCGTTCTCAACAGCATAAAATAAACTTTCTGTAGAGCACAAGGCTAAAAAATCTTGACAAGTGACATACCTGCCCCAAGCTGCTTTCATGGTAGAATCTTTATCAACAGGAATGCATGAGGACTCAACAACACTTGATTTATTCAATTTGTAGCAGAGACCACAGTCTGGATCTAACATACATCCATTGCAATAACTGAAAGAGAAAAAAATGAATTCTTAAGCAACACTTCATTCATTTGCAGATGAAAAAAACAACAGCATCTCCTAATCAGACTTAGAATGCCCATAGTTAAGTTGTCAGTGTTGAAGACAAGACTATTAAGCTCTCCATAGCTATCACATATTGCTTTTACCTTCTTCTGCAACACATTTTGGTAGTCCATMTGCATCCACCCCATGATACCTGATAGGCTGCAGGAGAATTCATTCATAGAAAAAAATTTAATTAAAAAAAAGACAGATGGGAGTTGCAGAGAAAGGATCATCATAGACTCACAAACTGGTTTGAGTTGGAAGGGACCTTACAGATCACCTAGTTCCACTACCCCCTGCCATGGGCAGGGACATCTTCCACTTGACCAGGTTTTTCAGAGCCCCATCCAGCCTGGCTCTGAACAYCTCCTGGAGTGGGGAATCCAAAACCTATCTGGACAACCATTTCAGTGCCTCACCACCCTCACAATAAAGAATTTCTTTCTAGTATCTAATCGAAACACTCTATTTCAGTTTAAAGTCATTTCCCCTTGTCCTATCATACATCATACCTAATAACCAAACTAGAATTTGGGCAGGAATGGATGTGAGTCTGTCAGASATCATAATGCCCCCTGTCTCCATGTGGAAACTCAGTACCTGAGTTCCCACTAAATTTGACAGGAGTCAATACGTCAGTGGAGGCAATTCACATCCAGGCACCTACTGCCCCAAAATGTCCCATCTGCTCTTTACCCATCTCTGCAGAGTGTGCAGTGCTCTTACAGCTCATTCCCATGCATCACACTTCCCAGCTCTGTACAGATCTGTCTCTGATTTCCTTGGGAGTCTCAAAAAGTATGAGATGCTAACATTCAGGCAGTTTCCTCAATGCAATTCTGTGAGCTGTTCAAGTGACTCGACAGTCAAACCGCTCCCAGACACCACTGGCTGCACKGGCCACATCCCCACTGACTCTGCTGGCAGCTTAGACACCAAGGGCTCTACAGATACCTCACTGACATGTCAGTCCAAAAATTGTCCCTAAGATCAAACTGAGAGGATGTAGGAATGTGAGCTACAAGGGCATTCCAAAGCTCCCCTGAAAGCTGCTGGCATAAAGTTTTGCAAACACTCACTCACTGCTCCAGTGGAAAGCAGAAGATATCTTATTTATTCACCCTTCCCATCCAGAAAAAGAATTGAGAGATTTGAGTATTGATTCCAGTGTCTGTCCACATGGCTGCTAGTTCAGTTGATCCTCTGGCTTTATTGGATATTGTAAAATAATTTAGGTTGGAAAGGACCTTTAACATCATCAAACACAAATGGTCTTCCTGTTGCCATTTAACATAATAAAGGCTGCTGGATTTCATGTCTTTCCAAATGTCAGGGAACATTATAGGTACTCATAACAATTTAAATTACGTTAAATTATTTTCCACATCTTTTCTGAAGTGTGACTTTCAGATTGAACATTTAAATAATGACTCTATAAACCCTTTACATGTGGTTTAGGATTTCCCATCATTACCTATGTAGTGAGTTCATACAATCAAACTTTGAATTCAGATTTTAGAAATAAGACCAGTTTATGCCAGAGGATACAAAGAAATCCAATATACAAGACCTAAAGCCATTTCAAATCTAACTCCCAGCTTACAAGAATAGGCAGTTGCTGTTCAGAACATCTACCATTATTCTGTGTCCTATTTTATCACTGATATAAAATTTTATGTTGTCTTTGATGAGGTACATGGTCATTGCTTTTTCCAAGCAGAAGACCAATGTTTTCTCCTCCAAAATCCCAGCATATATACATTTCAACTGCTTGACAAAACACTGAAGAAATCTCTATCAGTTACTAAGTCTAATGATAGCAGAAGATGCAGCATGAAATAAGCAAGAAAGATTTTTTTTTTTCCAGAGAGGCAATTAAAAAACAATCAAAGACATCGTGTGTTGAGGCTGCCTACTGTACAAATAAAATGTATAGTAGTTTCAGGTTGATGCTCTTCTTTCCTCTAGCCCCATTATTATTTGATAACCAAAACTATTTAAACAATTTGAAATTTAGCACATATTCTGACACACATGCTCATAGTGATATAAATAATATAGGACATAGAATATACCAGGGAAAGAAATGCACAGTGTAATACTGACATGAAACTATCTACTACAGAGCTCATTCCTGTCCTCAAAAGTACCTTCTTATCACTCCTATCAATATATATACTGAAATACATGTCAGAGAATGAATCTTYAAAAATACTGGTAATTCTTCAAAACCACACCAGAGATCAGTTACGGCCTTGAAAGCTCTATACAGGAATACTCTCGGATGCCCAGGTAGGAAAGGAAATTTGCATCCAATTATAAGCAGGAGATATGCTTCCTCTACTTAGCATGAGATATTTATATTTGTGCTAACTTTATGAGCTATTGTCTTGAAAACAAGTTCATCTGTGAAAAGCCACTTGAAAATTCCCAGGCAGGATGGCTGTCTATRAGATTGACAATTCAAGGTTGAAACACCTGAAAGAGATGATTTGATTTTGATGAAACCAGGCAGCATTACAGCAGAAAGGTTTTAAAACACGCCTGTTCCCCTYGCTGCTTGCCAGCTGGGCTCCTAGGCAACCCAGCGAGAAGGCAGGYGTCTAGACTTCAGATGCTTCAGCGTTTGAGGCAGAATAACAACAACCAGGACTCCGAGGCTTCACGAGTCCAAAGATGCCCAGCTTCTTTGCAGATCAGGGGCATGAACTCAACAGAACAAAAGCCTCAGTGGCCCGGCCTAACAGTTTATGGGGAACTGCCATGGAATGGGATTTCTGGGCTCCTGCTTCATCAGAGCATGTTTACTGAGGAGCTGATGGACTTGGCAGGACCAGCTATGCCCAACCCTGCCACTGCTCACTGATTCTGCCAACACACTCAACACATGTCCCCTTCATCCAACCACACAGGAATAACTGACTAGAAAGACTGACAGCACTGCTTTTGAGGTCCTTTGATAGCAATTTCAGGCCAGCCRGAGCAGCAGCTGCTCTGCTCTGGATCAGCCTGCCCAGTTACTGTTCCTCAGGTTAGAGGCTGATCAAAAAGGCCACAATGCCATTCTCTCCAACTGAGATCTTACACTATATGGATGAATTGCTAATTGATTATCTGTGCACATTTTTCGTGATACCAAAATTACTGTTTTCTTTTTTCCTAACAGTGTAGTTTATTAGCCTCTAATGCAATCTCTAAAAATATTGAATAAAATCTCTGACCTGCCAAAGTGACTCTCCAGATGTTGATGAAAGGTTCACAACTGCTTTTCCCCCACTGCTTAGAATACTCCAAACATATGTTTATTTCATCATTACATTTTGCACCTTAAATTTGCAAAATGACCTTGTAAGTAGTAAYCTTCCTACAATTCTCTGAAGATTGTAATTTGAGCTGCAGGTTTTCAGGTTTTACCTTTCCACTTTTTATTGAATGATTTGGCAGTAAAAGACCTTTGCCCAGTGCCCTTGCTCTGCAAGTACCATTTCTCTTTTTCTCACACTATTTTGACGTTTTCAAGCTGAACCTTAATTTCTGAATTACTTGTTTCAAAACATTTCATCAATTTCCATTTTGCCACATGTTAAAGAACTTTCAACTTTGCCTTCCATATTCTGTTACCCAATTACAAAATGTAGCAGCATGTTCCTATTGCCCAGCTACAGAAATGCAAACTGAACCTGATAATGTACTGTGAACTGTGCTGCCATACAGAACGCAGCATCTGATTTCATAATATTCTCCTCCATGAGTAGTGTGAACAGCCACAGAGAGTATCAAAACATCCCCAAATACACAAATTTTTTGTGGACACTCTTTCACTTCTTTTGGATTCATCATTGACAATTAGCACATGCTGCACAGTGCCCCCGATTACGTGAAGAAGGCTTTTTATGTGAAAATCTGATAGATGTGCAACATCCAAGTTGGACCTGATGATCCTTATGGGTCCCTTCCAACCTGAGATATTGTATGTAAGACATTTTACTCCTGTCTTGTCTACGGAGCAAATTCCACTGTTGAGAGCTTGTTTAACACACTGCTCTTGCTCTGTATGATGCGAATATTCGTATTCCTGAGCTTTCCTCACAGAACTGCAGGCAACAATAAAAACTTCTCRGGCAGGAATGACTCAATGTAGGGACAGGAGGGTCTTGCAGAACTGACTGAGGCACGTCCCACCCAGAGAGAACACAAACTGTGAATCACTGCAGGCTGGAAGGAATGCAACTTTGACTGTGCTGCTTTCTCCTATTTCCAGCTTGCTGTTTGYCCACTGGAAGCATGATCCTAGGCCAGGTGGATCTTTCATCCTCCCCGCAGGTTCACTCTCTGCTCTCAAGGTTGGCTGTGTGCACAGTCTCTGCCTCCCTTAGCATGCAGGGTAGTTCCTTTCCAGCTCCTTACAGAACAACAACAAACTGGGATTAAGCTTTCCTTGCTTCTGTTCTTGTATTCTGCCTACAACCTGACAGCCTCTTCCTCCAGACTCAACCAAAAGAAAATTCCCAAGACAGCTGAGCTGAGTATCACAGGGCAGGGCAGGCGTGCTCAGCTGGACTCAGCAAATTGTGAGCTGGCAACTGATTAATCCAAACATGCAAGGTGTTTAGTTCAACAAAAAACCAAAAACAAAACAATAAAAACTAAAATCAAAAAAAAAAAACCACCCCAGAAACAACCAAAAACCCAAGGACTTTTGCACAAATACTGCAGCACTTAGTAGTTCTGTTGACATGTCAGGATATTGACACTTTTAGCCAGCTACACAAGTAAGGATCTTAGGGTTTTTTTGATAAATGGCTTACTTCATTTTTATAAACAAACTCATCTCAGTTAGGTACTAGGACTATTTTTTAAATTGTTTGATGCTTGTGCCTGAGGTCTTGTGCTGTTTGCACACGCTTCACTGCACATCAGGCATGAAATTAAGCCTTTTTT